ACTACTACTGCTCCTACTACGACTACGGTAAAACCAAGAAGAGGTTGAACGTTTAGGGGAAGAATGTAGCCCAGGAGTCGCAACATACCTGGAGTAACAAGCAACGGACCACATCACGAAACATCAGGGGTCAAAACTCTCAACCCATCGATGACTTTAGACTATACACGCACAGCAGCTTCTCTAACAAGCAGCTGCTAACTTAGAAGCTGCAAGTCATAATTACAGTTGAGTCTGCTGTGCTGTAACAACATCTACTTATGAGTTGTCGCTACAAGAGGCTTGACCTTGCAAGCGCACAAAACCAGTAGAAAGGGTGCTGCAGGCTGTGCAGTCAGCGCCCCCATACTTACTCAACCACGGTTGGAACACCGACTGAGCTGCTATGACCGAAAAACCAACGCAGCAGCCACATTTCGGACTTATATACTTTCTAACCTATACACCCTGACACGCACGAAAAATCCCGGGAATAAGACTTCAGCATCCCGCTTCAGGAGACATGGCACTGCAAGCCCCACGGCGGCAAGCACAGTCTGCATGATTCCGAGCATTGCCTAATACGAGTGCCTGTCTTATCACTCACTTGCATCCATGAGGAACCCTCAACACAGCACCCGAACCAAATCGGTGTTTTAATTGGCAGCTGCGGCTTCCTTGCAGGTCTCGCTGACCTGCTCCGGAAGGGGTGGCGTCTCCTGCCATGAGTGAACTGACGGAGAACTACCACGTCAGAAGTTAGTGCTAGGTAGTAGGTAGTGGTCGGGGTAGTCGTCGCAGTACTCGTCGTACCTGAAGAGCTTAACACTCAGGCTTTGACACGTAAACAAGCAGTAGCAGTAGTGGTAGTAGTTGGGGGAGTAGGCATATGAGTAGGAGTGGGACTAGTAGTAGGGGTAGGAGTAGTGGTAGTAGTAGTCGTCGTAGTCGTGGTGGCATTACTAGTATGAGAAGCAGTGGCAATAGTGGTTGGCGGCAAGGGCTGTGGCAGTAGCCACAGTCGTACCAGTAGTTTTCGCTCCTGTCTCCGACTTGAAACACACAAGCCTCTCCGACCAGGAGCTCACATGCCTTCGCGAATCCTGAACCTCTTAGCTCCAAGAACGCTCAAGCTATGCTCAGATAATATACATGGGTAGGTCTCTCTATTCGGGTCCATTTTTGTGTCCCCGAAAAAGTACGGCACCCTTATAAAAAGGACCCCCGGAAGGGACCCTACTTTAGAGAACTACCCACACACTGCATTCGAAAGCCCGAAAGCCTTCAAGGCCCGAACATCTGTAAGAAAAGCTCGCCACCAGCAGCGCAGTGCCACACTTGAAAAGCCACCTACCCCGAAAATTAAAAAAGCCGCTTTCCCTTCTACGTCGCTCTGTCTCGCTCTATCTTATCTGCCTCTCTCTCTCGGACCTCTAAGCCCTAAGTCTTCAACGAAAATCGAACGTGCAAAATCCGTTTCAGCCTGGGAGAGACCGATCTTCACCAAGGCGGCGAGATGATGCCTGGGAGGGACTCAGCAGAGAAACACTTCTGGGGACTTGTAGCGGGGCTTAGGGTTTACGGGTTTTTGATTTAGATGCTTAGGGGCGTAGGGTTTAGGGTTCGGGGTTTAGGGGTTTAGGGTTTGGGGTGTTTTGTAGCCTAGCACGATGCTGCAGACACCTGCTCAACGGTGGTGCGCTTGGTGCTCTAGTTGCTGTAACATTGCAGCTGGGGCAAGCAACACGAAGTGGTCTTTGCCATTCGATGTGGCGCCCGGGGTTTCAAGCAACCTGTCTTCAGGAACTGTCTTCAGGGTTTGCGGGACCTTTTCCTGTTATTTCTAGTAAGAACTACAAGGGGATGCCATTCGGACGTATTCCGATCCCTACACTCCCGTGACCGCTACCAAGAACCCCAAAGCCTTGGAGATTCGGGAAGGACAATGGCGAGACATCTTGACAAAACCCAGGCAGGCCTTATTCAAAAATGGAGGGTCCGCCTTAGATTTTAGAGACGTTAAGCTCTGATTCGGATAAGTAATACAAGTCACCAAACATGCCCGAAGTTCGATTAAGCCCGTGTAACTACTGTTTCAGGCTTGGGGTCCGCTTTAAAGACCAGTCTAAGCACGTCCCGCAGAATTGCATAACAACAGAAAGCCACCAATGCCTCCTACCGCATTCAGGCCGTACGAAGTACCTCTTCGAACCACCGTTCTCCGCACGCCCAAAAAACCGAAAGCCGATGCCTCCCAGCTTCATGCAGATCTACTTTGCGCACGGGTACCCCTAAGGAGCTCCCACCATGGAGAAAAAGGCTTTCTAGTCTTCCGAAATCAGAAGACATCCCAACATGTATTGCTCAATACTCAAGCCACTCTTGAACATCCCCGGCCCTAAACCCGGAAACCCTCCAATCTCGAACCGGAAGCTCGAGACAAAGCCCATCCGAGAAGCCTCGTCGGAGATCTCCGCGGTCTTTCATATACCTACGGACCTAAAAACTAAAGCTGAAAGACGGCCTGTGCGAAAAGAAACTGTCCAACAACATAATTAACCATTACACGCTTCCAACCTATGCCATGTTTGAGTGCCGAGATTCTCGAAGCGTCCCCAGGGGATGTTGGCCGTGCCCATCTCCTTTGTCTTCGGTGGAGATTCACACAAACATAAGGCTCCACAAGGCTTTGAAAGGGTGTTAAACCGGGCTTGATGGCGTCTTATCTTGGAAGTGCGCTGTAGGGATTACGGACATTATTGTTAAGATTTGGAAAATCGTCGAAGGCAGGAGGCATGCGAATTGGAAGAGTCAAACGTTTGCTCAAGGGGTCTGCAGTCTCTGGGGCTTTACAAGTTACGGGCTCAGGACCTCGCCTAGAGGGCCTGAATAATTACAGTATGGTTTTGGGGTATATTATGCTATAATTACTATAACTGCAATAAGGACCCTCCGAAAAAATAGTATAATAGGTAGTTATGAAGGCCTCTACATCAGAAGGTGTCGGGCGTATTCAGTCTTCAGGGTGACTACGGGGAAGACACATCTCAGGCTGCACCGCAGACCTGCCTGGGCGAAGGGCTTGGGGTTTAGGGTTTAGGGTTTAGGGTAATGAGAGAAGCCGGGGATTGCAATGTGTAATTACTATAGGGGCCTTATTACTTAGAATCGGGTTTTGGAGTCTGTTATACTATAAATGTAATAAGGAACCCCCCAAAAACCTATTGTACTTATTAAGTTATTAAGGCCCCTACAGTAGATCTGCAGTCAGTGTCGATTGACGTCGTATGACCACACCTCAATGCAGACCATGGTCCCCTCACCATCATCCCCATTAAGGGTTTAGGGTTTAGGGTTTAGGGTTTACAAGAATTTAAAAGAAGTAATCCAGGACCCTCAACCCTAAAAAGAAAATGCGGCTTCGGGGAAGCAGGCGTCGGGCTTAAGGTGATTAAAAGAGTGTCTGAAGTCCTTTGGGGGTTTCCGAAAATGGGGGACCCAAATACAGCACCCTAAATAGCAGGATCCCTGTTATAAGGACCTCAGAATAAGGTACCCAGAGAGCCCAATAATTAAGGAATATACCTTAAATCATAATATTAAGGCCCCTATAATTTAAGGTATATTCCTTATTTAAGGGGTATTGGGCTCTCTGGGTACCCCTTGATTTCGGAAACTCCCATTTTTTGTGAATCCAACAAGGAAGTCTCGACCCGAAGGTTTGCGTCGTCGGCTCCGTGCTGCACAGCGGTCCCGTTGAAATGAAGATCTCATCCGCCGTTAAAAGAACGATCACGATACCGAATCACTAAGCCCTAACTACTACTTATGGGTATATGGGTAGTTCTCTAGATTCGGTCCCTTTCTAGGTACCCAATATGGTACGGCACCCTTATAAAAAAAGGACCCTAAAAAGGGACCCTAATTTAGAGAACTACCCACATGGTGAATAGTGGAGTCCTCCTCGGGGATTCCGGAGCTCCCCTGTGTGTTCGGTCGTGTTTTAGGGTTTAGGGTTTAGGGTTCGGTTCAGGGTTTAGGGTTTAGGGTTTAGGGTCAATTTCTGGCTCGTCGGTTACGACGAAGTACCTCCCCAAGCTTTTTTTGAGCAGGGACTGCAATACACTAAACCCTAAACCTCAAGTCCTAAACCCTAAACTTTGGTGGATTCTAGCGGTCGGAACTCTCAAAACTCGCGAGCAATGTGTGTGCCGGGCTTGCTTGTGCTGATTTCGTGGGACCCAATTGGCGATTTGGGGTTTTGGTACTGGGTGGTTTGTAAGGGGTGAGGCATTGGGGCTTACTAAGTGAGGATTTTCTAGGCATAACAGCATTAACATTCTGATCTCCAATGGGCATGCGAGTAGCTTTGAATGTTTTCCCATGTTCGAAACACACTTTAACTCCTGATTTCTTAGCCAAGCTGATCGGGACCACGACAGGCTGAATCCCGCCCTAAACCCTGTAACGGTTTCGGGCTTAGGGTTTCAACCCTTAGCCCTAAACCCAGAGAGCCCAATACTCCTTAAATTAAGGAATATATACCTTAAATTATAGGGGGCTTCATATTGTTATGATTTAAGCCATTCTTCCTTAAATTATAGGTATATTCCTTAAAGAAAAGGGGTCTTGGGCTCTCTGGGAACCTTCTTCAGCCCAGCCGCGATCACGACGCATCCGAAGCTCCAAAGGTCCGCGGCGCGTCCGTAGCGCGAGTGGGCGAGGACCTCGCGGCGAAGATGCTGTTTAGGTTTAGGGGTTTAGGGTTTAGGGGTTTAGGGGTTTAGGGTTTAGGGGTTTAGGGGTTTAGGGTTTAGGGGTTTAGGGGTTTAGGGTCAATCTGGCACAAATAAAGGGCCTTGCCAATTACCCATGGCCCCATGGTAGTTCCTTTTGGTGGCTTATATTTAGGATCCGACAAGGTAATCCCAAAAAATAATTTGACTACAAGTATTCTTGAGTAAACTATAGCTTAATATGAATTTAAAGAAGGACTGCCAAGGCATGTAATAAAATACTGTGCATGCTGTCATAATTAAACGGCTCATGTTCGGAATTTCGACACGAACACTCACACAGGCAGGCACGGATCCACACACGAGTCTAATAACGGCAGCTTGCCAGGTTCTTAGTCGTTGGGTCTATAGGGTTTAGCGTTTAGGGTTT